CGCCTGTAGTTCCAGCTACTTGGAAGGCTGAGGTGGAAGGATTGCCGGAGCCCAGCAGGTCGAGGCTGTGGTGGCTGGGAGTGGCCACTGCAACTCGTATGGGCGACAGAGTGAGACTCCAACTCAAAAAAAAAAAAAAAAAAACTCCTGGCTGGGAGGAATTAGTTAGTAGAGACAAGGTGTTACTATATTGACGAGGCTAGTCTCAAACACCAGGACTCAAGTAATCCTCTGGCCTTGGCCTCCCGAAGTGTTAGGATTACAAGTGTGAACCACTGTGCTCAGTCAGTAATGAGTTTTAAGGGGAAGTCTGTTGAGAATTTCTGGAGAAGTTTTGCTTTCCTTCCCCTTCATTCATATCGCTTCTCCTACCTTCCTTCCTGGAATATGACTGTGAAGGCCGGTGCAGTGGCAGCTATCTTTTAAGTGTAAGAGAAGGACCAGGTAAATTACAGAGAATTACAGAGATCTTGTCCTTACTTTCTTGAGCTACTAAATGTAAGCCAACAACCTATTATGAGAAAAAAAGCTAAGTCATAATCTAAGCCACTGTTCAGTTGGGCTTTCTGTTTTGCCTTGATAACACAGAGGCAGCTGTAGACAAGACTTATAAGAATGGGTGTGGCTGTGTTCTAATAAAACTTTATTGACAAAAACAGGCGGTGGGCTGGATTTGGCCAAGAGCTGTAGTGTGCAGACCGTGGCCTAAAAAATGTGGTTAGGGGCCTGTCCACAGCCCGCTGCAGACTGACTCAGGCTTGTCATCTCCACAACTCAAAGACCGATCCAGGTTGTGCTGGTGACGTAATTTCCAAAGTGGCCGACTCTTGGTGAAGTTCCAAACAAAGCAAAGGACAATCTTCTTTTGACTTGTATAGTGATATATTCCTGGACAATTTGGCGTCTGCTAGAACTGAACAAAAAATTCTGTGTGCACGTATAAATGATAGTGTGATTCTAGGTACACAAACGTATCACAAGGCTTTCCACCTATGTCATGGGAAGTCACAGGGGAAGGGGACAACTCTTGGATGTCTGGCCCTGTCTCACGTGCTGCAGGGTGTGTGGCAGCTCGTGACCACTCATTAAATGCCATTAGCGCCTTCGTCATTGCAAGAGCTAGAAAACACCTCCACAAGTCACCAAGGCCTGTCGGGGACATAGTCATTTCTGCTAGAAACCAGGACTTGGGGCAGGCAGCATTTATGTCCACAGGTGAGTGGCAGTTACATGCACGGGGGAGGGCAAAGATGACCTCATTTTATCCCAAATTGGCGAAGACTAAGTCAGACTGAGCAGGTGTCTAAGGTAAGTTAAAATTCCATTTAGAGGAAAGGAAAGGACCTGGTCGTTTTTGTCTCGGCACGTTGCTGTCGTGAGCCGTAGAATCTCTCCCTCTTTTTCAGATTGCTCAGATGGAAAAGAAAGTCGCCAACCAGAAGCAGATCTTTGTGAAAATCCAGGAGGCCAGTAACCCCCAAAAGCTGCAGAAGCAGATCCACATTCTAGAAACCCGCTTGAATCTCGTACGTAGGATGTTCTCGCTTTGCACGCGGCGCTCCCCACCTTTGCTTGCAGTGAAGAAAGACATCTGCTGAGCCGCTAGCAGAAAGTGCCCATTTCGTGGCTAGGCTCAGGAGCGGGTGAACTCATGGTGGACACACAGGCTGGGAAACCTCTATAGTGTACTGTCACTCTGCCCCACTTGTTAGGGTACGGATAGGGTGAGGGTGAGATGGATGGAGGCCCAGCACCGCTGGAGTCGGCAAGCCGGAGGTGTGCGCTGGCAACCCAGAGATCCGAGTAAATGCAAAGAATTGCAACACACAGAGGTGAAAGAAGAGAACATTTATTTAAGAAAAGTTCACCCCCCACAGACAGGGAGGGGGCCCACACTCTAGGTGAGTGTGGCCTCGTAGCCCCCCAAAGCCCTGGCTTAAATCCTTTTCCTTGGAGATGTGGCACCTGACTGCCGTGACTTCCTTACTGACCACCTGTGGATGTCTTAGAGATCCTGTGACACAGACACCCATCCATGTCCGCCCACATTATCATAGCCCCTCGAGAAGGGCATGACAAGGATTCTCATTCTGCAACTTCCCAGATGACATTCCTTAGAGCTAGTGGAGGGTGCACCTCCCCTTATCTCCTAGGCATTCCCAGTGGGTAGCTTCGGGGGATCCTTGGCTTCCCTGTAGATAGGGCCCAGTTTTCTGGAAGATCGAACCCCCACCTGCTCCCCCTCTGAGCGGTCATAACTTTTGTAATGACAAGTTCATGACTTTTACAGTCCTTGCCCAATGCATGAT